AAAAAAAATAAACTTTATTTAAATCACTATCTTCTGTTTGGTTCTTACCAGGTACCTGTGGAAATAAGGTCTGTGTGGACAGTCACTTAGGAATGTTACTAGTTTATGCTTTTGTTAAATTTAATTATCCCTAGAGCCGCTTTTCTCCCTGGAATCCATAAATTCTTTTCCTTACCTGTCTCTTCTGTGGAGTGGAGATCAGAAGATGAGAAAGATTGTTTTGTTTTTTGGGAAGTCAGTAATTGGCTTTGAAGTCTTATGAGTTACTAGCGGAGGTTTAGTTCTTCGTTCTTTTGTGTGTGTGTGTGTGTGTGTGTGCGCGGCCAGCTCAGCCCACCAGGGGCGGGCGGGCTGGCATGGGGTGCTGGGGGATCGAACCGCGGTCCCTGTGCTTTGCTGAGCTTGTTCCAAGTAGGTGCTTTAGACCACTGAGCCATCTCACCAGCCCGGTTTAGTTCTTTACTTGGTGACAGGACTAGGTTGGGTGGTATCAGAGCCTGTTTAATTAGGGACCATCATTTTGGGATTTCATTGGTTCTCAGCTTGGTCTCTGAAAGATTCCATTCATGAACTTGTGCAGGGTATTTGTTTCAATTTCTTAAGTCGGTCTTCCTTCTGGACTGTTCTGTATGTGACAGTATACATTCAAACTAATGCTTCAGCACAAGGAATCAGCTTCTGAGGCTTTGAGTATGATGGTCTATGTAAATGACAATAAATCTTTTCTATCTAAAATGTTCAATATTGCAGAGGACAGCCATATCTTCTAGAGCGGGAGGTTGAGGCTATCCTGGGCTACACAGTCCAAAGCCAACCTGAACCACATAGTAAGACCCTTTCTCCAAAAGAAAAGATTGAGCTGTAGGCCAAAATGGAGATTTCAGTCATAACTAATTCCCAACCAGCCCTCTAATAAAACTTTACAGTAGATAAGTCAAATAGGAAGAATTTTCAAATGCCTTTATATAAATTTTTTTCCATAAAAATGAATATACCAGATTTTCATTAGAAATGATGGGAGCATCAGTGTTACTAGTTTCACTGAAGACTTTGTGATTTTTTTTTTTTTTTTTTTTTTCTTCATGGTACTGGAAATTTGGCCTTTGTACTGAACTACATCTCGGGCTGGGAAGATGGCTTAGTAGAATATGCAGTTCCCTTGCAAGCGCAAGGGCCTGAGTTAATCCCCGGTTCTGCCAAGAAAAAAAGGAAGAGGGATGAACTACATCTCTACCCCTTTCTCAGCTAGGATCTTGCTAAATGGTTAAGTTGTCCAGGTTGGGCTTGAACTTAGTGATGATCTGCCTCAGCCTCAGAGTGCTGGGTTTAGTGCCTGGCTGTGTGCGTGTTTCTCTAAGTTGTACTTCAGAAGTACAGATGTATATGGTACATGAGCCAGGGATATAACTCAGCGGTACAAGCACCTACCTGGCAAGCACAAGGTTCTGAGTTCAATTCCTGGTACAAAAAAAAAAAAAAAACAATTCAGAGAAGTATGTGGTACATAAGAACCATCCATTAGATATTACACAGTAGAAAGGGACAGTCAGTTAATATAAGAACTAGCTATTGGTTGCCTTGTTTTTGGTCTTTTTTTATTTTACTGTATTTTTTTTTTAGATGAATTGTTTTTTAGGGGAGGTAGTTTTTGTTTTTGGTGCCAAGGACTGAACCGAGTGCTTCTAGCTTGCTAGGCAAGCATTCTACCGCTGAGCCAAATCCCCAGCCCCAAGAACTAGCTATTGAGTGACTTGTGATTTTTGTTTCTAAACACAGTGTTCATTTTTTGTAAATGGTTTTGTAAATGGGGGAAGATTTAATATAACAAGAGGACAGATATAAAATCTTCCCCCAAAATTTTACTCTGGTTTGCCTGGATTAGCATAAAGATCATAGAAGTTTCATCATTGAAAGTGTTGATGTGCAATTTAAGTATATCTGAAGGCCATCAATCTGTCTACCAATAAATACCATTACCTAATGAAATATAAAACAAATTCTTATCAGGTAAATGAAATTCAGTTGATTTTCTGACATTTTAACTCTTAGTGTTGGAAACTAATGCAAATATATAAAAAAAAAAAGAAACCATATATTTTCAACAGTTTATTTTCCTGAGAGACTGTTCAATACATTTGTTTTTATAACATCCAACATGTTTCATGTCAAACTGAACCACTTTCTGTGCAGTGACTGGTGGGCTGATCTATTTTATTTGGCTACCCTCATGCAGTTCATTTGAGTAGTTCTATGGGTTATATCAGTGATCAAAATGTTTCTCCCTACAGTTACTCCTGCATTTGTGAGCAGTTTCTTCCACACTTCATCTAAAAAAAATTTATGTGGTGTGATTACACTTTTTTCTTAAAATACCAGAGTTTCTAAAACTAAGAAAAGCAACATTTAAAACATCAGTGTTCTGATTAAGGATACAATTAAATTTCATCAGTACATTATATTAGAGTTTAACTTAGGCTAGAAATGTTGAAACCCAAGAGCTTCTGATTCACATAATACCAACATTTCACATTAATGAATAAATTACTTGGGCTCCATAACAGATATTAAGCAATGACAGAGAAAAAGTCAAGCCTTCAAGTACTCTTAAAAAAAAAAAAAGGCAAACCAATGAACACAACTACACAAAATATATACAAACCAAACGCAAACTAAACTGGTTAAGGATTAACCTTAAAAAATTACATTTTAGAACTTCGTGATACCCTCATAAAAGACAGCCAACTAAGGGTATTAAAACAGTAGTCATTATTTTAGTGACTGCAAATCAAGTCTAAAAGATCCAGATAAAGGAATTGTTTTGATTAAATTTTAAATAGTTTAAAATTAGAATAATACTTAATAGTATACACTTTAACTTTAAAATTAGAAATTATTAATACTTAATAGTATGAATTTTAAAGAATATACACAAATGATTTGAACAGGCTTTATGCCCAATAACTTGCATGGTTTTTGCACTGGCACTATCACTAATTTAGGAGAATCAGATGCATTGCCCTCCGTGTACTTAGGCACTAAGATTTCAAATTTATAAATATGGTAGTATTTTAAATTTCACATGAATGTTTGGATTTATCCTTGTTTTCCTTTGTCTTAGGTTTATGCAGTTTTGTAAGGAAAACACTTTCATCTCACAATCAACATTGTCTTGGTTACTAGACTGTAGCCATAATTGGGTAACAGTCACTTAGGGTTCATTATTTGGAATTATACTTACTAAGGCAGAACTAAATGAAGGATTTGATATTTGCATTTACCTGCACTGCAGAGTAAGTTCCATATTTTAGGTGTTAGGAAATATTTAATTTGTTTAAAGAAACTTCTTATGTTGGACTACTCAGAATTCCTAGAGTAGTCAACTCTACCTCTGAATTTACTTTATATCTCATTTATTGCAAATAGATATTTAAATAGAAGTTAGACTTCATTAAGGTATTAACTAAATTGAAAAGAAAATTAATGTACTTAGTTTGACAAGTTCATTAAAAATGGCCAGCACATCTTGATACATTCACGCATCAGCTCCCCCTTCTCCTGCGGCCCTCTGTGCTGGCCTCAGCGCCCTGCTCTCCGGGTTGCTGCTGCTCGTGCTCTGCCAGACCTTGCCATTAGTTCACTGTGTCCTGTAACGCCTTCTCCACATCTCCTTGGCCAGCAGTGGTCACTGTCTTTGGTAAGGTCATCTGCAGTGCACACCACAGGGTCGTGCGTGCTTTCCGAGTAGCCACACACATCTCTTTAATTGCTGAAGCAAGGGCAAAAACATCTGTAAAAGAAGTATGTCATGTCACATGTCACATAGATACGCGTCAGTATCCCTAAACTCGTGCGGTCTAATGTCACTAAGTAATCAGACATGGTTTTTGTAAAAGCAAGTATCAGGCATATGCCTGTAATCCCAACACTTGAGAGGCTGAAGCAGGAGGATCTCCATGAATTCAAGACCAGCCTGAAATACACAGTGACACCCTGTTTGA